GGAGAGTGCTCTTCCCTAAGAGTTCCCATGGTGGTGGGTGGGTCATTAGAACCAAATGAGTGGATTCTCAGAGCATTTCATTAGCGTGTGCCGAGCACCGAGGAGGTGGTCTAATAAAGAAAAAGGTGCAGTTAATTGAAGAATCCACCGCCTCTTAAGGCATCATCATTGCAATTCACTGCTATCAAGTTCTTTCTGACTCATGACAACCCTGTGGTCCAACTGCCCCTGTGGGTTTCCAGGACTGGCAAGCCTCTTGTTTTTTGCAGCAGTAACTGCTGGTGGTTTAGAACTGCTGGTCTTGGAGTTTGCAGCCCAACTCAACCCACTGAGCCACCGGGGCTCCCATGATAGTTATGACATCAGAAACTGTGCTTCCACCATTTGGCTTTCAGCCACCAGAGAGTGATGGTGATCGTCTGTTGAGTTTAGTGTTTGCAGTAGATTGTGTGGAGGAGAAGGAGTAGGGTGGGGTAGGGGGATGTGAGTGAAAGGAGGGGGACTTACCACTCTCTTCTCCCCTGCTCCCTTCTTTGAATTCTGCCCGAAACTGGGGGATTTCTCCCAAGTTGTCTCCCCCAAATATATGCCAAACTTAGCTACTTGCTACACGTGGTAAACAGCTATACACTTGGAGGTCAACGAAAGCAGGTCAGAGGTTATTCTCCCTGGGGGTTGTCAGCCACCTAAAGCAATCAGACAGTATAGTCTGTCCCACCCTAAGTAGGGCCCACCCCCTTCTGATAAGGATAGTAGATTTGTTTCCCTGAAGGAGAGACCAGGGAGGTCAAACCCACTCAAGGGTAACCAAGGTTAGGCTGCCATATTGAGTGGAGGGTCTGCTCCTCTTGTCACATGTATACCCCTAGTCCCTCCCCTTCCTATTACGTGTACACCCCTAGCTCATCCTCTTCCTGTCAGGCTTGTGCCTATTGTACAGCCCCTTCCTGTGATGTGTGGTTACCTGTAATCATGCCCCTAAGTATAGATGGGCCTTGGCCAGAAATAAAGAGACTCTCCTGCCCTCTCTGCCCACACTGTGCTTGGACCTGGTGAGCACGCTGCCGTGAAATGTGTCTGACTCCTTTCTTTTACCTTCTCTTCTATCTCTCTTATTCTCTATGACTCTACTATAATCTTTATATATCATAACTGTACAATTGCGCCTATCCAACCCGTGATATAGCAATGAGACAGGGGCAAGTAGAAAAGAGATGAAAAGACGTCTAAAATTTCTGTAGATGGCAACAACCCTTCACACTTGTCTAATGCTTTTAGATTTTTTTTTCTTTCTTTCAATGAAGTGCAGTGTAAAGAGCCTAGGGCCAGAGCTGGAGCCCCCACTACGAGCAGACAGTCTCTACCTCTGTTCTAACTGTATATGGCCACTAATCAGACCAGAGGGCTTCTCTTTCTTTCTCTCTCTCTCTCTTCCCACCCCCCACACGTCTATCTATCTATCTATCATCTATCTATCATCTATCTATCTATCTATCTATCTATCTATCTATCATCTATCTATCTATCTCTATCTATCTATCTATCTATCTAATCTATTATCTAGCTAGCCACCTCTATCTCTGTCTATTTTGCTATCTACTTCTCTCTCAAGATTATTTCAACAATAATAATAGTTAATATTTGTCAAATGCCTGTTCTGTGCACAAGTTCAGATCACAGGTCCACAATACCCGTTTCCCAGTTGAGAAAACGTGGCCTCAGAAAGATGGTTATTTGACTAAGGTACGATGGCTGTGGCATGCTGAGTTGGGTTGGAATTCAGGTCTCTCTGCACCTAAGGAATGGGTCTTCCCCTCTAAGCCACCATGAGCCCACCACGGCCCCAGTCCCAAGGTGTCATCTCTGCGTGCACTCTCTCCTTGGCCTTCATCCACAAGCCTGTGGAATAGGTGTTCGTATCTTGTTATGAAACATGAGAAAAGTAAGTCTCCGACTCACTAAATCTCTGGCCCAGTCACACAGTGAGGAAGTGGCAGGGCCAGGGTTAGATGGGAGCCGACTGGTCCACCACTAGAGCTCAGCATCTTTCCATCTCAGCTTTTGTAGGGATCTAGCTTCCCAGCCTTGCTGCACTTCCAAGGACGGTCACACACCCACACACCTTCGTGCTGAGCCTCTTCCCTCCCACCTGGGCCCTGGGAAGGTTGAAAAGCAGCGAAGCTGAAGACAATGAGAGCCCTTTGCCGTACATACCTTAGGGATCAGCGCCCCCAGTGTGGACGTGGTGAGTGGAGGGAGCTCTTCGTACTGTAGGACAAGAAGGATTGTGTGAATCGATGGGGGCCTAGAGGAACAGACGGGAGTTGCTAGCACAGTGATGACACTCCTGTGTGCTCTGAGACAACCAGGGAGGCCATCTTCTCTCCCTTAAGGGAACAGCAAAACCCCTTTGGAGCCTGTCCATCTAGGAGGCCCCAGAGACCAGAGTAGCCATTGTGGGTTTCACTAGCCTGGGCCATTTAAGGTCACCACAAATACACTTTGTAGCTTCCAGGCATTCCTGAGTCTGTCTTCACTAAACAGCAACAACAACAACAAACCCTTATTAAAATAAGGTGAGCCCCAGCAAATCCTAACAGCATAGGCCAGTGTCCACCAAATTCGTGACTTCTGCTATATCCCTAGGTCACCTATACTGTCATTCACTCACCATCTTTAACTAGAGTCATTGAAACAAAAAAACCAAATAAGGTTCATATGCTCTTAGTTGTTAAAGGAAATTAAAATGTCACTCTTTCTTGGCAGAAAGAGATGGGGATTTTGAAGATGGATACAATAAAAACAGAACAAAGCCATTACCTTCCAGGAGGATTGCTTTGTCTGTGTAGAACTTTGAGTGTGTGACTTGTTCTCTCTTAGTTAAAAAGAGGGCACTAATCAGTGCGAGAGAAGGTTAAGTATGCACTGGTACCAAAGGGAGATTTTCCTCTTGATGGAATCAAAGTTTGACACAGTTTGTATTGTACTCTCTTGGAGAACACTTTGTTCTTAGCAGATGAATCCTGAAGTCTATACAGTAAAATACGATGTCTCCCAAAACTCAAATTAGGTAAGTAGATAGATAGATAGATAATAAAAAAGGATTTGAATAAAACTGAATAGGGAGCAACTTTCTCATCATACATTCTTTTGTACAATGCCACGTCATATCTGCGAGCCACTCAAAATCGGCCTGAGCACCATGCTTCAGTAAACACTGACACAGTTACAACATGCCTATGAATCGGAGATGCGTCAAGGGGTGGACTGTCTACAGTCCTCACTTGAAAGCAGTTGACCTGAGGCCATGGGAACAAGCAAGGAGTAATGGGGAGCAGTTTGCCACCCAGCCCACCCACACCCCGATGGGGCCATGGCTCACCATGCCATCAGTGATGTCAGTATCCAGTGCCCCTTGCTTCTGAAGGAGCGTCAATACTGAGCCCAGGAAGTTGGCAGAAATAGCCAGCTGGGAGTTGGTACCGTCGCCCATGGGAGGCAAATCAGGCATCTTCTTCCTGGGAGACACAGCTGGCCGGCCCAGTGGGTAGTCGATGAGGTCTCCTCCAGCCTCCCCAACCAGAGACTGAGGGAGCAGAGAGGGCAACCATCAGGATGGGCACCAGGAAGAGAAGGGAAGAAGGAGGCTGGAGGCTGGAGTAAAACTCTGCCTCCAGGACTCGTTTCCTGAATAAGCCCTCTGGGCCTCTGTGGCGTCTTGATTTATGGCCCCTGACTCTTCTCCGGATCATGATGGAAACATTTCCTGCTTTATCATCACCTGTAATTATGCATGGCAACTTATGACGTGGTTTAGATGTTTGTGTGGCATACGTTCACACCCACCTCAGCCCTGCCATGATGAACCAGCACACGGTATGTGTCACTGCAGACAACGCATTGCCTTAGAGCCGTGGTTCTCAACCTTCCTCATGCCTCGACCCTTTCATACAGTTCCTCATGTGGTGGTGACCCCCCAGCCATAACATTATTTTCGTGGCTACTTCATCACTGTCATTTTGCTACCATTATGAATTGGGTGACCCCTTTGAAAGGGCCGTTCAAACCCCAAAAGGGTTGCTGCCCACAGATTGAGAACTGCTGGCTTACATATTTCTTTTTTTTATTTTTTATTTTTTTATTGTGGGCTCATACAACTCTTATCACAATCCATACATATATCCATTGTGTCAAGCACATTTGTACATTTGTTGCCATCGTCATTCTCAAAACATTTACTTTCTGCTTGAGCCCTTGGTATTAGCTCCTCATTCCCCACCCACCTGCCCCCCCTGCCTCATGAACCCTTGATAATTTATAAATTATTATTATTTTGTCATATCTTATACTGTCCAATGTCTCCTTTCACCCACTTAAAGAGCAAAGTCTTGTTCATGGGATCTGCCCTGAGGAGGCCTCTCCAAGTCTCATCTCCAGCCCCTTTGGCCCTGCGCAGTCCAGCCTTGTCTGTGGCTCACGCCATCTCACCACTCCTACCGCAGGGCCTTTGCACACGCTGTTCCCTCCTGCTTTAGCACTTCTCTTGTCAAAACCCACTCATGTAGAAGGTCTCGGATCAAGTATTACCTCCTCCAAGAAGTCTTCCTTGATCGCCCTAGATACACCAGATGCCCCCAGTAGCCTTGGGTCCTCTCTCACGGCACTCAGAAGCTACACTTTTATATCCGCTCGATGCCCTGTCTCCTCCATAGACTTTAAGTTCTATCAGGAGAGGCCCTTGTCTGTGTCTTCTCTTCTGAGTGTGCTCTCAGCCACCCCAGGCCCTGGAGCACAGCCAGGAACCATATCTCTTGAGTGAATGCATCTATGAATATCCTGGGCACACGTGTGTCTGTATTCACAGGTGTAACTATATACGGGTGTGTGTATCTGCATCTCTGTACCTGATGCAAGCAGCATCAGCTTTGTGCAGCCAAGAGGAAGGACGCAGGTGTGGGTGCCCATCTACAATTAGGGGTTGGAGTCAACGATGGCTTGGAGCTGGCTCCTCCCAGCACATGAGACCCGATTACACACATCCACATTCAGTCACATCCCCTGGGTGGTTTTAATTCAGTCACTGTGGGAGTATTTATACCACAGAAACTGGCACACACTACAAAATAGGGATTTTTTTTTTTCTTTATGTCATGGAGAATCTTTTGCTAAGTGCTTGACAGCCTGTTATCGGTCATACAGACATCGCTATGCACACCTATATACATCACTAGGGGGGTGGGTTTCCTCTTGCAAACCCACACCCATATCGACAACTCTAAGAGCTAGACGTTAGATGGTCTGGGTTCAAGTCCTAGGTTCACCATTATTAGCTGTGTGACCCAGGTGTGCCGCCTGTCTGTGCCCCCATCCCCTCATCCATGAAATATGCCCCACAAGAGCGCCAACTCAGGTAGTGGCTGCCAGCGTGGTCTGAACTAATCCACATAAAAACCAAAGCTCACTGCCTTCGAATCGGTTCTGACTCACAGGGACCCTGTAGGACAGAGTAGAACTACCCCTGTGAGTTTCTTTGACTGCAACTTTTCACAAGAACAGAAAGCCCCCCACTTCCTCCCGAGGAGCGGCTGGTGGCTTCGAACCCCTGACTTGGCGGTTAGCAGCCCAAAGTGAAACCACTACGACACCAGGGCTCCCTCCATCTGCATAAGGCACTTGCTAAGCGTTGACTGTGATGTATTTCTGCACATGGGCCCTAGACAGTCCTCATCTCATCTGGAAAAGGCGCTGCCCCAAAGGGTGCTTGCTGGACCTTCAGCATCAGCCCTGCCTTCAGGAAAGAGCTGCTCCACCCGTGGTCCCCAAGCCCGCTACTCACATTGAGATCCAGCTCCAGGAATTCCCCAGTCACAAGCGGGAGGCTGGAGAATGTGTACTGGACACTTCCCAATATCCCCAGGGGAACCAGGGCTGCAGGCAAAGAAGAGAGTCAGGGAAGGTCCCCTCACCCGCCTTGTGCCCTGCCCCCCGGGGGGCTGAGACCACAGGCACATCCCAGCACCTCTCTGAGCCTCAGTCTCCTCCTCTCTTCAAAGTGTCCTGTAACACCTTGGGCTGTAGGAGGGGCTCGACGAAGTCCTGAGTCACAGAAAGCCCTGTGAACCGTGCAGTGAAGTGCACCAGGGAGGAAGGTTCTGGCTTCCACACTGCGGTGCCTACGTGAAGCTGTCATGTCTCTGGCTGCTTAGGGCTGAATTGTGCCACCTCTGGGGCACAGAGGAACCTTTGTGACTGCCTGAGAAAGCCATCCTCGATCCGTGTGGAGGCCCAGAGAGACAGGCACAAGAGCAGAGGACTGCCGTATGGGTGGACAGGGTGTGCACTGAACCTCTAGTTAGAGGTGCTGCCCTGACACGGTGGTCTCTGTAAACGGAGATGCCTGGCATTGTGCAGTGCGGGAACGTCACAGCCATGGGGGGGTGTGTGGTGGCGGGGCATCTCTGGAGTGAGACCCAGGACAGGGTAAAGAGTGGGTTTGGTCCTCGGTGCCCAGGTCTGAGAACCTGAAGGGCACAGTGCCTCCTTTTATTCTCTCGCCCAGGCCCTTTGGGCTTTGAGCCAAGTCCCCGTTTTGTTGCTTTTATTTCTTTCAGATGTTTTATTTTAGAGATAAAGAAACTGGGAATCCACCTGGCTGCCAGGCAGAGCTGGGGCTCTAACATGGTCCCTTGGCTCCCAGTGCAGGTGGAAAACTCTTCCTCTTGGGGCTTGAGGAGGATGGTCGGGGGCAAGAGGGAAAGCCAGGTGGCTCCTGTCTCAGACACCACCCCACCACCCTTCAAGGGCCTCCTTGTGGGTCAGCCTCCCCACGACCACCTCCCAAAGACAGCTCTGTCCCCAGGACTGAGTCCAGAGCAGGCTCTAATGGGCACTGACTGAATGAAGCAGAGCAAGGAAGGACTTACAGTCCACGAGACCCAGCTGGTCATTGACAAGACCCAGAACCACATCTACGATGGGGCAGAGCTGTAGGGGAGAAAGGGCCATGACGTGAGTTCCAATAATGTCTCCAAAGCCAGGGGAGAAGGGGCCCCCCCACCCCCCCACCCCCATACTAACAGCCAGGGTAGAAAAGGCCTCCATGGACTGCCATGTGCCAGGCACTGTCGTGGGGAAGGGCCTAATGTCACTCCCACGTTGCAGAAGGGTGCAACAGAAATGTAAAGAGCACTCGGAACTTTCCAGATGCGGAGGAAGTGCCCGAGCGAGCTGGGGTTTAGCACCATCTCCTCACTCCTTCACTCATCTATCCCTCCACACACCTCAGGGTCCTGCCCACTCTCCCAAGCCACTGGCTCCCTCCATCCCTGCGGGTCACCTGCAAGTCCCAGAGGGAAAGGCTGAGTTTCCAGACCCGGGACTTACCAGATCAGGGAGGACATTGGCCAAGACTCTGTTCACTAAGTTATCCACGAGGTTGGGGAGAAGGCTAGGGAAAGAGAAGCACAATAAGGCCAAGGCTCATAGCCATGGGGAGACTCATCATGCTTGTCAGTGCTGGTGGGGGTCCCAAGCCCACTGAGAAACTTGGGTGTTGAGACATCAGCCTCAAAGCTGGAAGGACCTCGTAATTTCCCTGTGGACCAAGTGGACAGGCTACTCGGGCGTTGCTAGGCTTTTCATCTATGCATTCTTTCAGCAAACAGATGCTTCTAGAGACTTCCAGTGAGTGGGTGAGGCTGCCCTGCTTTGGACTACTAATGGCAAAAGTCATCTGACCTCTGGCTCTGTCTTGGTCATCTGACCATCTGAGGGAGCGGAGGAACTGGCCAAAGAATCACCCCCATTTCTCAGCCAAGATGTGAGCCTGAGTCAGTTTCTAGAGCCCGTTTTCTTAATCACATGAAATCAAGGTTGCAATCCAGATTGGAAAGCTGCAAGGTGAGTCATCAGACTGGTCCCAGGTCAGCTGACGCGCCGCCAAGAGAGCCTAGAAACTGGTCATGGAAGCATGAGACTGGGGCCCGGGAGAGCCCTCACCACTTCGGAATCACGTCTGCCCGCCCCAAGGACCATGGGTCAGTGGGTGGCACCATTTTGCTTGCCAGAGACAGACCATCCTTCCATTCCCAATGCACCCCCCTTCCACCCCCCACCCCCGTCCCTGGTCAGCTGGCACTCACCCTCTCAGCAGCTTAACTTTGATGCCCCCTAAGAGGGTGTCACATCGCTCAATGACCAGTCGAGGATAACCCGTGCGGTCCATGGTCAGCCGGACCTTGGCCGTGATGTTGACCTCCACCGCGATGTCCAGGAAGCCAATGAAACTGGGGTCCAGGAAACAATGAGTCACATCCCACTGACAGGCAGTTTACTCTCTCCGCTGTCCCAGGCCCTCCCCACCTCTGACTCTAGTCCTTGTTGTCTGCCATCAGTTGTGCCCCTGGCTCATCTTTCAGGATGCCAAATCGAGAAGGCATCAATTGAAATTCATGGAATGTATGCATACAAGTTAGTTTCCAAGGTGACCACCCAATCACTTAGCTTGTAGTTATGACCTCATCCGGTGGAGATAAATCTACACAAAGGCCTTCTGAGGTCCCCAAATTAACACCTACTCCACGGCAGGCAAAGGAGCCCTGGGAGTGTAGTGAGTTACCAGCTGGGCTGCCAAGGGTGAGCGCAGCAGTTCGAAACCACGAGCCACTCCTCAGGAGAAAGGTGTTTGGAAACAATGCATGAAATGAAATATACTGGGGCAATTCTACTCTCTCAATAGCCACTAGGAGTCAGAAATGACTTGACGGCAGTGAATTTGGTTTGGAGTTTTTGGTGGGGCAGACAAGGAACCCAAGTGATGCAATGGATTCAGTGTTGGGCTGCTATCCGAACCATCAGCATTTAAACCCGCTAGCATTTAAACCCGCTAGTCGTTCTGCGGGAGAAGGCTGTGGCCGTATGCTTCTGAAGAGTGGGCAGCCTTGGAGAGCCTGTGGAATAGTTCTCCTCCATCCCACAGAGTCGCTGGGAGTGGGTCTTGACCAGGCAGCCATGTGTACACAGCAGGCACTATTCAGGGAGGCGTTTGGCTTGCCTTCCCTCGAGTGTGGCCTCAGCCACCTAGAAAGGGTCTTCTGGTTCAGTGACATTGAAAGCGGCCCAAGGTCATGTACCTTGTGAGAGTCAAGAGGCAAATCTAAGCTATCACCTGACTCCACCCTCCCACCCAACCCTGACCCACCACCTAGGCTGCCCTCCCTGCCCACAAGGGGACTGAGATGCCCTTGGCTCCCATGTATAAGCTATGCACGTGCTGGCACCAGAATGTCTTCTCACGCCGCATTTTCTGAATCAAAGGGCTGAGGTTGGGAAAGGGTAGACAACTTGTCCAAGACATGCAGTGGCAGGGGCCCTCCCCGGGCCAGGGACACACACCTCTTCCCGTTGATGGCCACGCGGGTGTACAAGCTCAGGTAGACACCCACTCCGGGCAAGAGCCGCACAGACACCCGAGGGAGGGTCAGCTCCACAATGCGAAGCCTGCGAAGGGTGGGGGCAGAGCACATTCTGGAGAGACTCCTCCACAAGCTGAGGAGTGCCCTCCCTCACCCCCCCTCTGCTCCATATCCATCCCTCCTGGCTCTAGGGAGACCCAAAGTTCATGGACAGAAAAGTCCAAGGCAAAAATTACCATCTGATTCCCACTGCCAGGGGGCTCACCATTCACCTCTCTCTTTCCCATAAAAATGTCATTCCCTCTGTCCCCTGTCTTTTCCTGGGTCTTGCCTGTCCATTCTTCAGATTGCAGCTCAAGAACCTCTTCCTCCAGGAAGCCTCCCTCCCTTGACTCCCTAGGAGAGTGAGCTCCCCCATAGACGTGCCCATTGTCCCCATGAACTTCTCTTGTTATTGTTGCAAGTGTATGGTTAGTCGCAGACTTCTCCGTCCATGGCCATGGACCTCGCCAGCCTGCGAGCTCTATGAGGATGCAGAGATGTGGGCCCCCAGAGCCAATCCACAGTAGGAGCTCTCACTATTCGCTGGATTAAGTAACGCATATGAGAAGAAGGCGAGAACCATTGAGCTGACACATGGAATTGTAAATCCTTGGGCCTCTTCCACTTCCACTATGTTATTAGCCGGGACCATTCTACAGATCAGGAAACTGAGACTCAGAGAGATGAGAGGAATGGCCCAAGGTTGCACAACAAATATGAAGAGTTGAGTTGGGATTGATTCGACTCAGGCTGTCTCATGGCAAGACCCTTAATCCCTACGACTTGGGACTTTGGAGATGTCTGCTCTTGACAGCAAGCCCTCAAGGGGGATGGGACTCTGAAGACCACCCCACTCCCGGCCCCACAAGTCTGAAGATAAACAGATCCCAGTCCTTTCTTACCCCGTGATCCCCTGTACGGTGCTGAGGATGCCACCTTCGCCGAGCACGCCCAGGACGCCCCCTCCTCCGAGAAGTCCTCCGTCACCAAGGAGACCTCCCCCGCCAAGCAGGCCGCCTTGGCCTCCCAGGATGCCGTCAGCCGCCAGCATGCCCCCATTGCCCAACAAACCACCTGGGCCCAGGGCTCCAGTGGCCACACCAGGTGGAATTTCTCCAGGCCGCAGTTCTCGCCGTTGAAGCCTTCTGTGGACTGGGTTGCCTTCCGCTGACCGATACCGCCCATGGCCCCTGTGGCCGCCATATGCATTCTCGGCATCGTTTCGGAGGTCCCTGATGCTTCCGTCCGACTCAATGATCTCCCCATATCGATATTTGCCCCCCAACTGAGCGGTGTTGTCATTGGTCTCGATGTGACCATACTTGTAATTACCGCCAAGCTGCTTGCCGTTGGTATATTTGGGGGGTGGCTCTCGGATATGAAAGTCGTTGTAGGGAACACCACCAACACCTCGGGGGAATTCAACGCTTCTGTAGTCATTGTAATGGTGTCGGCCACCGCCCAAGAGACCACCACCACCACCACCACCCAAGAGACCACCACCACTGCCACCCAGCAACCCACCACTACCACCCAACAACCCACCACCACCACTACTACCTCCACCACCCAGCAGCCCACCACTACCACCCAATAACCCACCACCACCGCTACTACCTCCACCACCCAGCAGTCCACCACTACCACCCAATAACCCACCACCACCGCTGCCACTCCACATCCCCCCACCATTATCATCCCACATTCCACCACCACTGCTGCTACCTCCACCACCCAACAACCCACCACTACCACCCAACAACCCACCGCCACTGCTGCCACCACCACCCAATAAACCCCCACCCAACAGATCGCCACCCCCTCCACCCCCACCACCAAGCAGGCCGCCCAGAAGACCACCTCCCCCGCCACCTCCACTTCCACCAAGCAGACCCCCCAGGAGAGGTCCACCACCATCACCACCAGCTTTACCCATGGGCACCTCTCTCAGGGCCGTGTGCAGGGCATCACTCTGCTGCAGGGTGCCCGAGATGGCTGCAGGGAGGCAAAGACGTGAGTCAGGACTTCCTCTCTTTCTCCCACCTTAACCCCCAGGCATCACCCCCTCGCTACACCCTCTGGGTCTCACTTTCCCGTCTATATAAATGCAGAGACCAGACGGGAAGAGTCCTGCAGCCCTCTAGCTCAGACACCTAGGGGAGCTCGTAGCCATGGGTTCCACTCGGCTAACTTTAGGTTTAGACGTCATTCAAACACACTTGAGGGGTTCTCTTCCTCTCGCTCCGTTCAAGGGCCAACGTCTGCTGTCATTGAGTCAATTCTGCCTGGTGGCGGCCACACCCTGAGGGTTATGGCGTAGATGTGCATCGTGGGGTCTTCTTGGTTGGGATCTTAACCGAAGCAGATCACCAGGACTTTTCTTCTGCGATACAGCTGGGCAGATTCCAGCGACCCATCTTCAAGTTAGCAGCTGAGTACAAACCATTAGAGCCCACCCACCCCGGGACCACTCTCTATACAGCTTAAAAAACTATGTTCTCATGCATGACTTCAACTGATTCGGATGAAAAGTCCAATCCAGAATTTATCGTCCTTCATGGACAGGTAAGGGGAATGGAGGGCTGTGTAGTGCTCAGAGGCCTCTCAGGTAGGGATGAGCTCATCCTCACTTCCTGGTTTGTGATTGTCTACGGCCAGCGGTTCTCAACCTGTGGGTTGCGACCCCTTTGGGGGTCGAATGACCCTTTAACAGGGGTCACCCAATTCATAACAGTAGCAAATTTAGAGCTATGAAGTAGCAATGATCATAATTTTATGGTTGGGGGTGGTCACCAAAACATGAGGAACTGTATGAAAGGGTGGCAGCATCAGGAAGATTGAGAACCACCGACTTAGGCAGAAACTGGATCAGAACACGTACCTCTGCTGCCAGAGGACGAAAGAGAGGTCTCAGGAGTTGGAGGCAGGACAACGGATGACGGCTCCCTCTGATGGAGGGTGTGCTAGGTACTGGGGACAATGCTAAGTCCTCACAGAGTTCATCTCATGAAATTCTCATGCCCGTCCCCTGGGATGGGGACCAGGAGGACACACATTTTTCAGACGAGGGACTCGGCACTCAGAGGACTCGAGCCATGGACTTCAGGTCACACCGTCAGGGTTTGAACCCCGTCAAGACTGACTCCATAGTCAATGCTCTCGCTTGCTGGTCTCCACGCCCTTAAGAGATGGGAGCATAAGTCTCCAGCATGGTGTTTGGCACACAGTAAGTGCTCAGGAGATGGTAGCCAAAGAAAAGGAGGAAACTGAGGTCCAGAAAGAAGTCCTCTGGACATCAGATGTAAAGGAGGGTCTTTCAATTGTTGGCTGGTCTGCTGTGCCCACCAATGTCCACCCGCATGGTAACCCGGGCTCACCATTGCTCAGGACGTCTTTGGTAACTCTGAGGACAGTGTTTGTCTCTGAGCGGCTGCCACACACAGCTGCCACAGACAGCGCAGCCACGTACCAT